TGATGGGGTATGATTTTTCCAATTCAAGAGATCGGTGGTTGAGAAAGGCTGGTACACAAACATGTGTCAGCCTCCCTGAATCTGGCCTTCCTGATCATAGTAGACAGGGCCTCTGGTTTCCCATAGGGGGAGCTGGAGAGCGCCAGTCTCAGGGCCCTTTGTCTGCAGCCGCCCATCTGTGGACCCATATGGGGTCAGGACTGGAGGCGGCAGCATAGCAAGAGGGTCTGGAAAGGGGTTAGCGGGTGGAAATGGTGGGGCCGGCTAGGGTGGCACTAAAGGCTGGGCTGGTGGCTCAGAAGCCCATGGAAGGGGCAGATAGATAGGCAAAATAGGGTGGCAGGATCTCCGCCAGGTCTGAAGGCAAGACTGGCTTTTGTCCTTTTGTTTTGTCCTTAAGCAGCTTCCGGGAGGGGACCATAGCTCAGGCTAAAAGAACCCTACCCTAATTTTCCAAACAGGACCTCAACCAAGGGGGCCGAGTACGTACAATGGCCTCCCATGAGTCGATATAGGGGAACTGGTCGGGGTGACCGGGGCTGCCGGTAATGACGAGGTAGACTCTCCTAAGAGTCTACCTCAGGTCCCTGTCGAAGCCTCCCTCTGTTGGCCATTCAGCGCTGAATGATGGCCAATTTCACAGAAGGTGTGGAGCTTTTGGGGGGTCATCTTAGTGCCATAATCCCCCGAGAACCCCTTCTTAAAATGTTTTTTAACATACACCCTAATGGAGTCTGGTTACTCTGTCGCCCACCCATGGCAACCACCCAAAATCGGTGCAACCCACAACCACTCAGAGGTTCGCTTTGTCCGTCCCCAGCCGCTCCCCTCGCGGGGATATTTCAGGCGACTCTTAGCAATTGATGGGTCGGTATAAGCCCCCGGCTCAGATCACTAAACTATATGAGACAATTTAGTGATACCACCCTAAGCCACATGAGGTTTGCCACAGACCCGCGGATTGGGACTCAACACTTGCTTCGCAGGCAGACTGCATCTCATTCACACGGACTCAGACAGATTCATTCTCCGCCTGCTGCCCAGTTCCTGGGAGTCATGGTTTCTCTCCGAAATTGAAATACTCAGGTGACTCCAGGAGGTGATCAATCTCCCCTTCTGTCCGCTGTTGGACAGGCTGCCTTAAGGGACCCGAGTCCTTATCTGTCTGGTTGGGCGGTGCTCCCAAGCTGGTTCCCATATAGCCTTCTGGGTTCTGTTGTGCTCCCGGGTCAATCCCCCATGGTTGGCAGGGGAGACGGTCCCACTTCCGCTGGTGCCGAGTAGAGTTTGCGTCCCCTTTCGTCAGGGGGAGCCGGGCCTCGGGGACAAGGGAGGTGGAAAATATCTCCGTCTCCATATCTCGGGTGAGCCCCCAATTATGTTGCGGGATACTCGGACAGAGAAATGGAGCACCAAGGCTCAGGGCGGGAAGCAATGTTTATTGATACCGGCACCAGCTCAGTGGATTCATATCCAGAGGCTGAACCCCGATCTGGACAGGACTCGGAGCTATATACCCTGAGGTTTCCAGGTTAACAGCTAGGATTCCTTATTAGGACATGCAGCATTGTGTTAGTTTCTGACTGGCTCTCTGGTGAGGTAGGAATTAGGAAATGTTAAACACGGAAGTCTTGGTGGCCCTGTGGTCCAGGAAAGCCTTTGTCTAGGGCAGTGGTTCTCAATCTTCCTAATGCCGCGACCCCTTAATACAGTTCCTCACGTTGTGGTGACCCCCAACCATAAAATTATTTTCATTGCTATTCTATAACTGTAATTTTGCTACTGTTATGAATCGTAATGTAAATATCTTTTTGTTTTCCAATGGTCTTAGGCGACCCCTGTGAAAGGGTCATTTGACCCCCAAAGGGGTCATGACCCACAGGTTAAGAACCACTGGTCTAGGGCCTTCTGTCACATTACCAACTCCATTTTGGGCCTGTTGTCTTGTTTGGTTAACAAGGAGGAGGAAAAGATATTTTTTATCCCTTATGTAACCGAGAATCTGCTTTAGGCATTTACCATGGGTGCACGTGTTTAAAGATTCCCCCTCAAGGCACACATTTTACTTATTTTCTAATTCATCTCGTTGTGAGTCTGACAATTGCTTTGCATTTTACTATAGAATTGCTGAATATTTCGATGGCTGCAGAATGCCAAGAGAAAGACAGAAACAGCAATGAAGATCATTAAAAATTGTAGTGTTACTATAAAAGAGTACCAAAAGCAAAAAATTGTAAGGGTAAATAAAAATAAGATTAAATTTTTCTTGTTACAAAAGAGAAAGAGATTTTTTAATCCCCCTCCCTTTTCTTAGAACATTTTCTAGAGAAAACTTGTATTTGTAAATATTTTCTCTGTCCTTTTGATATGTATGCAAATCTTTTAAAAGGTTAGTTAAGCATCTTACCAGAATTAAAACCCAGGAATGTCTTTCAGAAGGGCCTGGGAGTGGACTCTTTTCAATGTCAACATCAAGGAAAAGAGGGCCCCATCCCCCTGTCACCGTGGGAGGCACTTTGACTACCTGTTATCATAGAGATAAAAGAAGTCTTATTTTTCCTTCAATAAGAAGGAGGCAAATAACCAGCACAGATGGCCACCCCAATTACCAGGTGAATATAGGGTGAACTGTGAAAGCTCATATAATACCAGATGGTGCTGAGTCCTCTCAACTGAGGACAAATCCTCACACATGAGAACATGTATGTACTGGGTTGTATGTATCTGCTTGGCTATCTGAGAATGACAGGATTTTTTTTTCTGTCTTTGTAATCTCATTTTTTAAATAGCAGGTTACCCATGACACAACCCAGTCTGGTTTAATGCTTATTCAATAACAGAACTATTTTCTACTTTTGCAGAGAGGATTTTCTAAGTTGTTAGGAAATTTTTTTCCCTCAACAGTGCAAGGGTCTGCCCTCTGTGTTAGCATAGGCAGTGGTGTTACCAGCTGTTGTGTCAGTGTTATGGGAGTCTTCTTCTTCTTGCCGATGCAGTGAAGAATCAAAGGTCAGCAAGCTGATTAACATGCAAGCAGGGTTTATTAGTGATACATTCTCAGGGAAGAGAATGAACCTAGCTGGAAAGGGGGAGAGAGAGGGAAGGGAAAGGGGCAGAGAGAGAGGGAAAGAGAGGCATTAGGATTTCAACATGTGAATTTGAGGGGGACACCAACATTCGGTCCATAGCAGGGCTGAAGGATGAGTTTTCCTTTTGTATTGTGGTACTGCCACCTTCAACATGAGGGAGGCCTCAGAAGCAGAAACTGAAAGTAAGTCACCAGGTCTCTAACCCTTGTCACATGAGAATCTTGGAGTGACCTTCAATAAGTCATAGAAGAGAAACCAGCCAGACTTTATGCAGCTGAGAAACAGCATGTGGCTGAGACCTTGGGCACAGAGTAACTCGGGCCCTTGTGAATCACAGAGCTGATGTGGGAAGCCCGGGAAGCCCCCTAATTGGGTTTGAGACCCAGAGGCCTGGTCTTGGAGTCTGGAGAGACTTGTGGGGTGAGTGAGGGGTCTCCTGAGCAAGGAATTCAGCATCAGACACCTTCGGTTCATGTCCAGACTTATCTCTGACTAGTTGTTTCAACTAAGACATCATTTCTCTGAGCCTCTGTAAAAATGGGCATTCTACATACTGCCTGAGATGGTTTGGAGGCTTAGGGTAATAATGTTTGGGATGTACTACAGTCCTCCGCTCTACCAGCTGAGCTATCGAAGGGAGAACTATGGTAATAATGTTTGGGAAGGTGCATTGAAAGCTACATATAAGGCACAAGACAAATACTACTTCTTACGATTCATCTTGCCTCCACAGAACACTCACTACCCCTGCTGGGCCATTGTGACCCCTTCTGTTCAAAGAGCAGGGAGAAGTAGCCACTGCAGTTCCTTCCGGTGCTGCGGGGTGAGATTCTGTCACCCTCCCTTGGTGATTCCTCTCGTGCTCTCCCTAAGTCCTGAGCCTGCCAGCCCCAAAGTCTAGGAGGTTCTATAGCTCATGTATCCACCAGATGATGATGGAAGAACCCAGACAGAGGCTTCCAGGAAGCCTTTCTCAACAAATATCTCACAAGCTATAGAATTTGTTCTCACCTCTGGCTCAGTCCTCAGAAGTTGGAGAGAGCCACCCTGAGCCCTCCATCTTCACCCCACCTGTTCCCTACCCTGGCTTTGGGATTTTTTTGTCGTCATTATTTTGTTCCCAGCTTGCTAACTGCAACTTCTGTTGAGCCATGTGTCCCAGACCATGTCCTTCTGCATCTGTCCCCCAACGCTGCTTCCCAGAGCTGTACTAGATTGGGGGTGCATCTGTCCCCCAACGCTGCTTCCCAGAGCTGTACTAGATTGGGGGTAGGGGTAAGAAATCACCAGGAGGAGTGTCTCAACTTCAGCACAGCCGAGTCTAACAAAATCTCTTCCATTGTGTGTGGAAGAACACCCACCAACTAGGGATCAGGAGTTCGGGGCTACCCTGCTTCCGCTGTCAGTTAGCTGGGGAACATCAGCTAAGACTTGCTCTCTCTGGGTTTGGATGCAGTGACTGCTGCTGTAATTCCGAGATGGAGGCTTGGGGCAGGGAAGGGAAGCCACAGGTAAACTCCCGCTGGCTGGCCCTGCAGAGGTGGTCTTGGGTTCCTCCTCCCTTCATGACTTTAACAAAGATTCCCCCATAGATGCTTCCATTCTCTCCTCCTGCAGAATAGATGCCACATGACCACCTGTTCACAGGGCCATCTGAAGCAGGAGAGACCTGGGGAGCAGGATCCCAAGTCCTAGAGGACAAACCTACGAATGTGGCCATGCCCTTGGCTTTTGGCCTGAGCTCTCCTGCAAGTGGGGGCCTCGGACACTCAGCTCCCAGATCTCTGGAATTTCAGTCTCCCTCTTCCCATCCATGAGTCCCCATAATGGAGCACTTTGGTTCACCTCTCCCTGCCCCAAAGCCCTCTGGGGGCTGAATTCAAAAATTGTTTCAATAATTTACTGGGAAGGTGACAATCAAGCACACACATTTTATTTTTCGTGTAATGCGCCCATTAACCCTTAACAGTTTAATAACCTATAAATCTTCCTAGTAGGGCTTCCATGTACCCCTGGGAAGGGTGCTGGGCCCTCAGGCTCCCCTTGGGGGCTGAGCAGGGGCCTGTAGGGTGGACCATGTGCCCTTGCTGATGCTTGCAGGATTTTCAAGGGCTTTTCCAGGGCTGTGCTTCAGCTCCAGATGCGATCACAAGGTTTTTCTTTGGCATTTAACCCATTGCTGGGATGGCATTCCACAAAAAAGTATGTGTGACAAAGGGCACAGCCACAAGGGACACCTATAGGGACCCCACTCAAGGTGCACATGCAGAGTCTGGGGCTGCGGGAGGAGGGGCACCAGCTTTGTCCTGCTGGGGCAGCTTTAGGAAGTTTCCAAGAAAAGTTCCTCCACTTCAGGGGTTAGGCCACCATCCACCACACCCGGACTCTTTGGTTTTGTCCAATGGCCCCCTTCTCTCTTTTCCCCAGCCCCTCTTCATTGCTCCCCGATCCTGAACACCAAGGTCACTCGACCTGGGGTTGTTCCCATCTGTGAAAGGATGGGCCCTTTTCACCCAAGGAGAGACTTCCCGAATGCTCAGCCTTCCTACAGTCCCTGGGAATTAAGCCAGGGCAGGGAGGGTAGAACCTCACTCTTGGTGGGAGATCCTGTGGTCAAGTTGAATTAGGGCAATGGCAGGTGAACAATCATGTGCAATCAGAGACTGGCCTTATACTGTACTTACCGCCAAAATACTATTGCCTCTTGGGCCCCCCGGAGGCTTCCTTAAGCTCCTGGAGTCACCTTGATTCTTTGGCTGAGGCAGCCACCCAGAACATTCAACCAGGAGAGTGTGGTACATGGGGTTAATCAGAACATCACACCCTCCTCCATTTCTCTCCCTTCCCCTACTGTCTCCTGGGGGCTGCTACTCTTCCTGGAGCAGGGGCTCTCGATCCCCTCCCTGCACCCTCTCATCCTCCTCCTTCTCCATGCAGCCCATGGTGGCAGCCAACCCAGCACCCACACCACCCCCGACCACAGCGGCCCCTGTGGCCCCCACTACAACTCCAGCTGCCACCATCCCAGCCTCTGCAGCCAGCGCCGCTGCAGCCATGCCTGCACCCACCACACCTGCCAGGCCCATGAGCCCCGCCCCCACGGCACCCCCAACGGCAGCCAGGTGGCCACAGAAGCGCATGGTGTAGGCATCCATGAAGGCCTTGGCCTCAGCCTGCAGCTCAGCCTCCAGGGTATCCAAGGTCTGCTCTCTCCCATGGCACAGCAAGGCCACTCTGTGGTGAGCCAGGATGGCATCTTTCTGGGCGGAGAGGAGATTCCGCATGTTGTTGGGCAGGACCCGGAGTGCAGAGAATATGCACTTGGTGGCCATGTCCTGTGCCAGGAGGGGAAAGAAGACACTCTGACCTAGAGACCTGGGAGCCCTCCCCTGGTGTGGGCCCTGCTGGCCAGACACCTGGCTCCCACACAAGCCCAGGGCTCACCTGCTGCCGCACATACTCCTCAAACTCCTTCTTGGCAGCTTCCACCATCCTCAGGTTGTGCAGTTGGGTGGCCATCTGTGCACAGGAAAATCCAGGCTGCCTTCCTCCTTCCTCCCCAGATCCCAGGGTACACCCATTCGCTTCCCTCCCCGCCCCCTGGATCCTCCTGGGGAGCTCTGTACCTGGTCAGGAGAAGCAAACCCAGGCCCTGTCCTCCCCATCCAGCCTGAGAGGTTCTGCAGAGACATCATTGGAGGGGTCAGGGACAGCAGGGGGACAGTGGGCTTGCCTGGGTTTCTGGGAAGTTTCCACACCTTGATTTCCTGAGCTAATTGCTGCCCTGTGAGCAGGCGTCTGTCTCCCCTGGCCAGGGGTCGCCCCTCATTGCAGTACCCCTGGCAGCGGCTCTTGGCATGCTGAGGGGCAGCACTCAGTACATCAGCGATGTAGGCTTGGAGATGGTGGAAATCGTCATCTGTGTCTGAGGAAGAGGTTCCTCATGCTGAGGAGATCGGGGACTAAGCAGGACTAGTTTTTGGAAGGGTAAATGGTGTCAGAGGCTGGGAGACACTGGCAAGTTGCCTGGAGGAGGGCAAGCTGGGGAGACCTTTGCTGCTGGGGACACTCACTGCCTGGGCTTCCATGGTCCTTGCTGGCCCACCGCCTCCTTGGAGCAGGCAAGAGGTAACAGCGGGCTCGCCTTTTATGGAGCAGCTCCCAAACCCTGGGGTATTTGCCGGATTCCTGAGAGATAGATCGGGAAAGCTCTGAGCTAGGGGTCCAGCCCCAGTCCTAATTTGCCTACAGGACCCCTCAACTCTGTGTTCTACACCCACCTCTCCATCCCCTCCCTCTGTACACTCACCTGGATGACATCACCCACGTGCCCCTGTCCTGTCTTGTTGGAATGTGATGAATCACGAACTAAGAGATCCAGGTGCTGGAAGAGAATAGGTCCTGATGCCAGCAGCCAGGGGTATCTGGGTCTGGGTGATGAGTCCAGAAATGGGTGTCTAACCTGGATTGGCACTATCCCATGATGCCTGCCCATCACCTCAGCCACGTGGAGAAACATCTAGAGACAGGACACTGAATGTCACAGCTGGGCCACTCCAAGGTCTGTGCCTCCCCTCCCCACTAAGCCCATTGTATAACCCATGCCCCCAGCTCCCAGCTCCAGGCCCCTCTGGCCTCCCTCCAACCAAGTATCCTGTGCTTCACCCTCTGCCCTCAAACCGACCAATCCAGCTGTAGGTCATGAAACCCTAGACCAGAAGTGGAAGGCATCTGACTCTGGCTGGTCCAGTCCCCTGGCCTTATGGTCAGGGCAGGGACGTGTTGGCACCCCAACACCAGGTATTTCCTCACCTCCAGATATTCCAGGTCTTTATCCTTCAGTTCCTGGGAGGTGTTGAGGATCTGGAACCAAAGAGAACAAGATGTAAGAGGGTCTGCAAAGGCAAAGAGACACTGGGAAGACCTTGGTGGGAAAGGAGCTCACAGGCTGACTGTGAGGCTTGGGACCAGGAGAGACCAGCCCAGGGGCCTCCACAGCCTCCTGAGCATCTAGCTGTGAGGGATGGAAGGAAGGCTGGGGAATGATCCTGCAGACCTTCAGCTACCCCCAGGGACTTTCAACCTATTTGTAGAATAAACCATGTTCCCTCCTTTACCAACGGGGGGCATCCTTCTCTTGCAGGGGCACCCCCAGAACCTAGAGGGATCCTGGACACAAAAATGTGTGAGATAGAGTGACCATAACCTGAGCTCTGATAGACAGAACCAGCTGAGGTGCCCCAGGTTTGCAGAAAGCTGAGCTGGAGCGGGGCAAGTAAGGTAGAGATGCAAGATCAGAGCATTCTCACCTGGTAGGAGCTCAGCATTGTGGTGAGAGCACAGAGCTTGGTTCTTGTTTCACTGCTCAGTTCAGGGCTCATGGCGTCCCCCGTGTCCACCAGAAACACAGCCACCTGTGCAGTGGCGGGGGACAGACCAAGGGGTCAAGCCTGACTCAATACCTCTGCCCACCTTGTCTTCCTGTCTTTGTCCCAAAGTTTTCCTTCTCCATTCTCCTCCCCTCCACTCATCTCCTCTCCCTCCCCCCCCTCCCCCTCTCTCTCCTTCCCCCTACCTGACCCAATTTTGACTTCTTCTGCCCTTTCTCCTCACCTTCCTCCCGCCTTTCCCCAGCAGGAAGGGATGGCTCCACATCCATATGCCCCTGGAGAGGCTATTGGCATCCCAACTGAACCCCTGCAGGGAGCCCCCTCCTCTCAGCCAGCCACCCTCGCAGGACTCCTGCAGGGCAGAGAAGGAAGGCATCAGCTGATGCATCCAGCCCTTATCCCCCTCCCAAAGCCAAGCTGGGACCCCTAACCTACCCCTAGCCCCTTGCCCCAGCCTGCCCTCACCTGGCCTGGCAGCCCCTGGAGCAAATGGTTGAGGAGGAAGGTCTTCCCTGAGTGCTGCTCCCCCAGGACAGCAAGGAGGCAGACAGGGGTGTCCCTGGCCAGGGGGTGCTTCAGGCAGCGGTTGATGGCCCCCATCCTCAGGATGAGGCCTCCAGAGGCATTGATTCGCACCAGCAGCAGTGGTTCTGCTCTCACAGCACAGGTCTCCTGGCCAGAAGAAAGAGAGGCCCCTGAATTCAGGCTGTGGGAGTCGGACCCCAAGTCTGGGGTGTGTCCAACCCCGAACTCAGTTTCTTACCCTGACCTCCTAGAATAGGACCAAAGCCACACACCCGTCTTGGACTGGACCTGGGTCTCTCCACGCCCCCCTGCCCTGAAATGAGGCCTGGTCCCCGGACCTGTGGCACAGGCGGTGGTGGCCTCTGTGGCAGCAGCTTCATCTTCTCCCCCAAACCCCGGAAACCCTTCTTCTGCTTGCATATCTTGCAGCACTCTGGGCAGCAGGGCCGCTCGCAGCCAGGGACACGGTGTGTGCTGAAGCACCGAGTGCAGAAGTCGTGGCCGCAGTCCAGCGAAACTGGCTCACACAGCTTCTCCAGACAGATGGAGCAGGTGGGAAGCTCCTGGGGTGCTGCGGGCCAGGACCCCAGGCTCAGCTCCAACTTAGGGAATGGCATGTGGGACCTGGGGGCAGAACGGGCCATTTGAGAGCAGCAGGCAGGGTTGCAGGGGGCACAGGCCAGCGATTGAGGAGGCAGGCTGTTCCCAGAGAGACCAAGCTCTCTGCCTGTTCCTGAAAGACTTGCATCCCAGAACTTGGAGACCCCAGAGTGATCCTGGGAAAGAGAAAGCCTGGAATGGATTGAATCCTGCTTCTGCTATGCCGCCAAATACAACCGTGGGCAAGTTCCGGCCCCCATCCAGCCCCCAGTTTCCTAATTGTCCAAGAGGAGAGGTGAGCAGCCTCTCTTCATGAGGCTGTTGGAGCAATCTGATGAGATGGTGCATGCACAGCACACTGCCCGGCACCTGGCACAAATGCTCATAAAAATTCTCCCCACGGGTTCCTGCTGCCAGGGCTCCCTCAAGGAGTTACTGACTCAGCCTGACCACCTAAGGAGTAATGCCTTCTACAATATCCTACAGCAACTTCAGTACACCCCGAGATGGGACCTTAAGGAGAGGGTAGGAGCCCCCCAGTTGTCGGGCAGATGGCTCTGGTTCTTGGAAGATTCTTTCTACTCTCCCACTCTGAGTTGGAATCAGCCTCCATGCAGCACCCCCAATTTTCCCTGTCTCCGCCCACATCCCCAGAGCCTGGCAGATCCAGCCTCACATGCCCTCCCCTGGGAAAACCATAGACCCCCCCTGTTCCTGGACCAGCCGGCCGATGAGGCCCACTGCACCAATCTGCCAGCAGGCCCTGACACTCACCAACTGTTGCTGCTGTTTCCCATGAAGCTCCGTTTTCTCTCCTTGGAGAAAAATTTTGGGGGAAAAAAACAAACCAAAACACACACACACACACACACACACACACAAAACGTTGTTTTGAAGAGAATCCAGATTTATATCTTCATCCTCAGTTTCAGTGGCCCCTCAATCCCCACTCCGCACACCCATCCCCACCCCTATCCCCTACCCCCCATCTCCACATGGCCCCTTCCCATCCCCATTCTCCTCAGATCTCAGGACTGAACACTTGCCTGTTTGCCAAGCCAGTGACAAAAGGAAATGACTGACAAGGCAGACCTCGGCATGGGAGCCTGGGAGTGGGGAGAGGGTCCAGAAGCGGAGGGTGAAGGCCAGGAGCCCTTCAGCCAGCCGTAAGGATGGAAGGGCTGGTGAGCTGTGGCAGGTGGAGGGTGTTGGGGGATGGTCTCCCCAGAGGAGCCGACTCTGTCAAAGCTGGAAAATAGATGTGTCAGTCAGTAAGGAGGAGGCTGCCTCTGTACTCACCCCAGGGGGAGGAGACAAGACTGCGGGAACCAGGGCTCCAGAGGAGGGAGGGACAGAGCCGAGCTCAGAATCCCTGGCAGAGTCTGGGATGCAGGCAAGCTGAAGTGGTGAGTCGCCATGGAGACAGAAGGGAAAGATAAGGACACGGAGGGGGAGGGTAAAGGGAGAGAGAGAAGACACATGGGTGCACTGGCAGAGAGGGAACCGTGGGCAAATATTGCTCCTGTTGGCCCAACAGGGTCCTTCCAGGGGTCTGGGCAGGGTGTGCAAAAGGGAGAGGTTTGGGAAATCAGAGAGAGGCCCCCCTTCCTTCATGGGATGAACATTTTACTGAGCACCTACTATGTGTGGGGCCCCGTGATACCACCATATTGCATGTGGCCCTGCACACTCTCTCCTGCCCAGGGTTATCTCACTGATGCCCATTCACAGCTGCAGCTTTGCTCAGTACCCTTAGCTTCAATGACATTGGCTGCGTGTCTTCCTCTTCCAATGGCTTTCACCTGGTTTCAAGTTTGTGACAGTCAATTCCAGACCTAACTGCCTCTTGACTGGGCTCCTACCCTCCCCTTCCCAGTGCACCTCCAGCATAAACCCCACTGAGCACAGCTGATCCCATGCTGCTCAAATGCCTGCCATGGCCCCCTAACAATCAGATCAATATCTAAACTACCTGGCTATATCTACTATCCTGAAAAGTCCTCTCCAGTCTTCCCTCTCTTCCACTCTTCTCCGACTCTGCACCTTTACTCCATCTCCCCTCTGTCCTCACCCCTTCTGAGAGACCTTTGCAGGCCCAGCTCAGGTGCCATCTCTTCGTGTTTTGCCCTTGCCGACTGGACATGGCTCGGGCACCTGACTTGTGATAGGTTCAGTGCGGCACGGGCTCTGGAGGCAAGCTGATCTAGGCTCGAATCCCAGCTGACCTAGAAAACCAGGGGCCCTGAGTTCCTCCCTTCACTTCTCTGAGCTCTGAGGGTCACAGTTACATACAGAAAGGCATCTGCCCGGGCAAAGAGTTATTCTTAAGCTCTAGGAGCAAGAATGCAGAAGGGGAGATGGGATTAGTACTTTAGAGAAGCTTAGTGGAAATCGCCCCCAGCAGCATCCCTGGGTCTTGTTCACCCCGGTCTTTCACACTAGAGGATGAAGGGCCTCTGTTTGTGGGGCTGAATGGAAGCCAGAGAAGTGATATGACTCCAGCAACCCCTCCCCATTGTTGGTAGCAAAGCCTCCTTTGAGGAGGAGCTGGGCAGAGCCATGCCCACTGCTCTTCTTCCTTGCAGAGTGGTCTTCTCAATCAGGTGGCCTTGCATCCTGGCAAACAGGTACAGGGGAGACAGCCTGGGCACTGGATTCACACGGAAGTTCTACACTTGCTCTCCCAGCATGAGGCCCTGGTAAGTTGCCATCCTCTCTGAGCCCCTGTTTTCTCATCACCAGGCAAAGATGTGGGAACGCAGATGGGTGCCCAGTCTTCCCCAAGCTACTGCACTGGTCACACACCCGAGAAGCCAGTCCAGGTTACTCACTGGGTACCCAGCCCTTGTGGTGCGGCTGGGAACAGGAGAGACAAAGACGTTATGCTCCCCAAGATCTCCTCTGGGGGCACATGGACCAGTCAGGCGATAAAAATGCATTGCTATGCTGGAGTGAGAACGCAGGCTTGGAGGTGTCAGGGCTGTCTCCGTGAGCCAAGAGGTAGGAAAGGCTGCTCCAGGCAGAGCAAACAGGATGGTGGGATGGAGGAGGCCAAAGAACTAAGCCGACTGGGGCGTGCATGACTGTGTGATCTGGGCACATCAGTAGGTGTTCCAGGAGGGCTCCTGCAGGGCATACTTGTGCTGTAAAAACATCATGTTTAGGGATGGCTATGTCATTTGCAGGCCGGGTGCAAAATGAAACTGTGGAGGTCCCAGCAGCGGCATTTTGATTGAAAGTTAATCTCCTCTTCCCATAGGCCCACCGCCTCCAACTCACTGCTGACAGGTGAGCCCAAGGGAGGCCACGTTCATGCTGGGACGTGCTCAGCACCTGGAATGGGGGCTGGGCAAGAGATCCCCATCAAATTTCAGCCCAGTGAGAGGATGGCTGTCACCTGTCCCACACCAAGATAGCTGAAGCCAATCCAGCGGTCCCCAGTTCTGCTTGAGCCCATGCTCAGGCCTCTGGATGGAAGAGGCGTCAAGGGCTGGGGAGGGGCAGCCAAGAGCCCACCCTAGGGAGGCAATTGGAGATGGACACAGGGGACGCTGAAGCTCCCAGGCCCCAGGGCATGATCCATTTCCCTATCAGACTTCACTTACAAAACACAAACTCAAAGCTCACATTATGAATCATTTCCAGATGGCGATCACAGAACACTGCCGCCCAAGCACAGGGCCCTTCTGAGGGTTGGCCCTGGGTGACTGCACTGGTGACACACCCAAGAAGCTAGCCCTGGTCGCTTTGGCTGCTGTGTGGACAACGGGTTAGAAGGACAGAGCTGGAGGTGGGCAGGAGGCCACGCTACAAGGACAGAGCCCCCAACCCAGGCCTGGGCACCTGAGAAGTCTCACTTTGAGAGACACAGTGCGAGACCAGGGGTAGAAAACACCCTGCCTCCTCACGCTGAGAGCTTGTGCTCCTGGAGAAAGGCCCTGACTCTGTTCCTTTGCTATCAGATGACCCTGCTGGTATTTGGGGCTCTGAGGGGGAACCCCTTGTCCGGGGAGGCCAGCTGTGGGGGTCAGGTAGGGACAGTTCCATTCTATCCACTAAGCTCCACAGGCCTCTCTGCGTTTCTACAGTCTCTGAGGATGATTGAAACCTGACAGGAAAATGAGAGTCTCCAAACTACAAAAAGAAAACTTCAAAATCAGAAGTAATATACCTTCCTAGTTCAGTGTCTGCTACCTTTCACATTATATCATCCAGTTAACTTAACCGGCATAATCTTCTGTGAAGTTAGATTCAAAGCACGAGTGCTGCTGACTCAACAGATGTTTACTGAGCACTCGTGCACTTACATGAATTCACACTTACTTCCATATGCACACAAACACATCACACACTTACCCACAGGCACTGTTCCAGGCACCCTATGTATATGAATTCACCCTTAACAACACAACCTATGAGGGAGGTACTATATTCCAGATGAAGAAACTGAGGCCAGAGAGGTTAAATCAGTTGTCTAAGATCACACAGCTATTAATGTCAGAGCTGGAACCCAAACCCATGCAGTCAGGTTCCCGCACCCAGGCTCTTATTCTGTGGTTTTCTTGGGTGGCAAAGTCATGTCAATTATGAAAACAAGTTTGGAAAAGAGTTTGTGGTCTTGCTGCATCTCAGTATGCAGCCACTTACCTCAGAGGTGGGGGGAAGAAAAATCCTCTCAGTCCATCTATGTAGAATATTGGGATCAGGCAACTGAGTTTTGGATGGTCCTGGCCCCAGCTTGCTGTGTGACCTTGGGCAAGTCACAGATCTTCTCTGGACCTCAGTTTCCTGATGTCTAAGTGGAGGGGGGGGGGATGTTCAATGAGAACAGAGTTTTCATCTGTTGGAGTGTCCTGCTCTCTCCCACTTCCCTGGCCTAGGAGCTCCCGGAGGGCTGGGGCAGGCTGGCCCTCACCAGGAAGACTGGCACAGTGGGTGCTAGTGAGCGCCAGACCCCTGCCACCCGGATGTCTCTTCCTCCCCTGTGCCCCTGGGAGCCACCTGGACACCCCCAGCTCTGCCACCAAGGTGCAGGCCATGTGACAGGTCACCACACTCCTTTGTCATGGTCAGCTGTGGCCCTATTTTAGCCCTTCTCCCAGAAAATCCAGCCATCAGTCTCTCCCACCGCTGCCCAGCTGCCCTGGGGCACTTTTTGTTGGGTGACTGGCTGGAAGACAATGAAGGTAACAAGCCCAGACCTGGGACCGGTGGGCTGAGGTGACATCCCTCCTCTCATCACCACCCTGAACCCAGGCCTGCTGTTCTTCATTCCTCCTCCCCAAGCTGCACCCAATCCCCTCACATGAGCCTCCCACTTACCTCACCACCCCCACATCCCAGTCCCAGAGAGAGCATGCAAACAGCTCTCTCTGGCTATGGCCAAGGCAAGACTCTGTAATTCCTTGTTCTCCGTTTCTTTCCCAGAGATTTTTCCCTCTTCACAGTCTTTCCAACATGCCCACTTGTCACTCCTAGACCAAGAAAGAGTGAGGGCCTCTAAGGCAGGTGTTCCCAGGAGAGCTAGAGACCTGATCACTGGGGAGGATGAGCTTTGTGCCGACTCCACCCAAGGTGTCTGTGATGCCTGACAGGTGAGCAAGGAGTCCACCCACCCACCTACCCAATCACCCATCCACCCACCCACCCACTCACCCATCCACCCACCCACCTATCCAACCTTTCATCACTAGTCATCCACTTGTCTGCCCATCCAATCATCCATTCTTATTCTTGCCCATACATATTACAAATGTTTATTGAGCACTATACACCAGGCATCATTCTGGCCCTGGGAGTAGACTGATGAACCCTCAGGATGCTTCCCGTCTAGTGGGAGAGACAGAAAGGTCATTAGATGAGTTCTGGGTGAAGAGCTCTCTGACAATGGTGAGTGAGGGGTGAGGTAGGAGGATCAAGCAAAGGCATCTCACTCATATCTGAATATCTGGGAAGGTGCTCTCCACAAGATAATGCTCAAGCTAAGCCTGAAAAATGAATATGAGTTGGCCAGCAAAGGTATGGGGGTGAAAAGACATTTCTGGCAGAAAGACCAGCACATGTAAAGACCCAGAGGTGTAAGATAAAGAGCCTAGCTGGAGTGTAGCTTGTGATGGGAGGGGAGGAAGGAGAGTGGGTCAGGGCATACAAGGCACATCACCTCTCAGACTCTGCCTCATAATGCTCCCCTGCAGAGCTAAGGAAGGAAAGAGGCCACTGTCCTGTTGAGCTAACAGCTTCTGGGTGTTCTCAGGTGCAGGGGGTTGTGGGGGTGCTGCAGCACCCAAGCCACCCTGGTGTCCATGCCAACATGGCTGCCTCCATGCCCTGGGCCCTTGCCTTGGCCCCACGGTGCAGCAGGGTGTGTTCCCCAATCCCTACAGACCCACTGGCCGTGCCTGCTCTTGCCCTGGCCCTGACCCAGGTGCATCTGTACCAGATCCTCTTGTGTGAGCATCAGAGACCTGGCCCAAGCAGGTCTCTTGCTCTGAGGGGTCAGGCCTCTTTAGGGTGAAGGAGGAGCAATGGGACAAGATCCAGACCAGAGAAAACAGAATTGGAGCTCACCCAGCAGCTGCCATATTTGGTTGGCATTTTTTAGTTTTCAATAAAGATCAAGCTAAGGCTGAGCATGGTGTGGAATTCCTGCTTTTGTGAAGATAACCAGGTTTTGACTTCCTGTACAGTCCCTCCCAGGTACCATCCGTCCTCTCTCATCACAGGTAGCCCCAGCCTTGCCTTGAGTCAGGCCCTATGATTGAAAGGCCCATTCCAGGCTGCAACCTGGATGCTCAAAACCCTGATGAGTTGGGAAGACTGCTGTCAGCTCAGTCAGGCTCCCCTCGAATGAAGCCACAGGTCCCCTATCCCACGGATGGCCATGGTTACAAGTGGTGTCTAGTTTCAACCTCTATGTTCAGAACTGGTGGGGGGCCCTTGGCAAAGGGGGACACTGAGGCCAGTCCCTGAACTCTGAGGCTGGGCAGGACACAGTCCAGATGCTAAAGAGGCCAGGCCCATGTGTGGCTGTTCCTGACCCTGAAACCTGGTTCCACCCATTTTCTTGCTGATCAGCTTCCAGGGACTTCCCATCTGCAGCTGGAGGAAAGTCCAAGTTCCCCAGCTTCCCTTCCAAAGCCCCTCAACATCAATTCAAACCCAGGCTTTCTAAAATAATTTTCAAAATAAAACATTAACCAACATTTGCTTAGCAATTTAGGGTTCACAGTGCGTTGCCATATGAACTGCCTCAATTGATTCTCACAACACAGTGACCATTAGCTCCATTTCTTGAACAGGAAAACAGGCTCAGAGAGCTGAGGAGACCTCCCCATGCCAGCCCCAGAAGGAGGAATCATCATCGCGACCCCCAGGACTGAGCTGTCCCTTCACCCTGCCTCACCCAGTGCTGTACGCTTTACCATAGCCAGAGGGTTTCCCAACATACCTACCTCGACACCTTTGCCCCTGTCATTCCCCCACCTGGGGGTGCCCTCACCATTTTCACCCAGGTCCAGGTTGGCTCAGACTTCCTGCAGGGAACTTGCCCCATCCTCTCTCTCCTCCCCTTTGTTTCTCATGTTTAGGAAATGCCACTTATGTACCAAGCATTGAGCTGGATGCAGGAGCTACAAGTAACAGAGTTCCTGCCCTCTGGGAGCTCAAAGGCTATGCTCAAACAAGGAGATGGGCAGCTGCCCCTCAGCATGGTCGATGCTGGTACAGAAGCCCAGGAAACCATGGGATCCCAAGCGAAGCTCCTCACCCAGACTTGGGAGCCTGAGGCTCAGTCTGGCAGGATGAGTGAGAGTTAATCCCCTCATGGAAGGTACTGGGGAGGGGAAAGGGTATTCCAGGCACAAGGGAAAGTATGTGCAAAGGCCAGTGTGGGTATAGCATAGAGTGAGGCTTGGAGTCAGCAAGAGTAAAGGCAGGGTGAGGGGACTGAGGTTTCGGTCAGCAAGCATAGATCACAGAGGACCATGTGGCAGATTTGAGACTTTACTTGCATGACACTGGGAACCATAACTAATTTTCAGCAGGAAGCATGTCATCAGCTTTGTGACTCTGAACCATGACTTTGCCCAAGCAGACTGGAAGGGCCTCTTGCTGGTTTGGACAGCCACTTCTCATTAGGCACGTTTGAGACTCGACTAGTCCTCTGATTGGTCCTCTGATGACAGACATCTAGAGTGGCATTAAGGCTTTGCTATAACAAGCATGCTGTAATGAATGTTTCTGCTGTGACTCTGCTTCCTACATGGGGGGGTGTGGTTTGATTGAAGGATCAATCAAACCACACACCCTCACCAATGTGTGTTGACCTTTGCCAGTGTAAGTTATGAATGTGCAAGCATGCATCTCGGTCTACTCAGCATTTCTAGTTTTCTTTGCATTTTTTAGGTTGTTCCTCTGCTATGTTGCCAAAAACAAAAGACTTTTTTATAATGGAAGGGGGAGTTTTAAAGCACCCTAAATGTCCAGTTATGATAAATAAATAGTTGATGATTAAATAACTACACGTTTTAGACCCAGGTTACTCGCACAGCACTGTTGCTGATCACTGGGCACTCTGAGGCCTGACCTTTGAACTGAGCCCATTCCCAATTAGAATCTGGGCTGTTACTGACTCTCATGTATGTATGTGGCACCTGTGCCAGCCACAGGCTTCTTCCTTGCAGCAGAGTCAGCGTGGTCCCAGGGCCGTGCTCTGGCAGAGGCCCTGCCATGCAGGTAGTGGGCAGGGAAGGCCCCACAAGGAGCAGCACTTCAAGTGGACATCAGGAGAGGAAGAGGATGAGTGAGAAGGGACAACAGGACTGCAGGCAGAGGGAGGAGTC